GCCACCTCTGGCATATGGGGCCAGCGCCTACTCCTTTGAGCCACAGGCATCGCCCAATATCATTCCTTTTTAAAGTAGGTCTTCAGTACATCTTTAGCTAATTTATATGTATAGTGTATAAGAGAGGTACAGTTTTATTTTCTGACACATGGAAAACCAGTTTTGCCACCTCCCACTTTTTTTTTTTTATTGTTGGGGATTCATTGAGGGTACAAAGAACCAGGTTACATTGATTGCATTTGTTAAAGACCCTCTGATAATTGTGTCCTACCCCCAAAAGGTATACCACATACCTTGACCCCTCACCTCCTCCCTCCTTCCATCTCTCTACTCTCCTCATCACCTCTCACTTTTGTCACACATTTTTCAAGTCCATAAACAACTTGCTGGGTTTTTTGTAGGGATTATAAAAACCAATTGGGAAGAACTGACATATATATAATTTGATTACTTCAATCCATGTGTATTTATAATGTTAAGCATTTTCAATTTGTGATTATGGGACATCTTTACAGTTTTTTGAAAAGTTCTTACAGATAATTTTGTTCTTTATTTTAGATCTTTGATATTTTGGTGGTATTGTAAATAATACAGTTTTTCATATTCAACCCAAATTTTGAAGATTTATATAAAATGCTATTTATTGTATAAGTATTTAATTCATTTTCTAATTCACAATTTTTAGAGAAGTTTTAGATTAACAGAAAAAAAATCAAGCAGAAAATACAGAGAGTTTCCATTTATATGCTCTCTCTCTCTGGTCCCTTGAATTGCCCATTTTAATAATTTTTAAAATTATTAGTGATATTGAAATTGTATTATACAATTATTAACTATATTTACCATACAAGGCAATTGATCTTAAGAAATTAAACTTATTTATCTTCTGTAATTGAGGCTTTCTAAAGCCTTATTATTTCTCCATGTCTCCCACACCCAGCCCCAACTTTTGGTAATGTCTGCTTCTATGAGCATAATTGTTTTTGATTTCACATTTAAGTGAGAACATGTGGCTATCTGTCTTTCTGTTTTGGCTTATTTCACTGACATGATGTTCTCCAATTCCATCCATGTTGTCATAAATTATAGGATTTCTTCCTTTTGAAGGCTGAATAGTACTTCATTATGTATAAATACCATATTTTTATCAATTCATCTATTCATCTGTTAATAAACACTTAGGTTGATTCCATATCTTTGTTACTGTGAACAGTCCTTCAGTAAACAGGAGTGTGCAGACATTTCTTTGGCATACTAATTTCAAATCTTCTGCATGAATATCCAGAACTGGGATTGTTGAACATATGGTCATTCTATTTTTAGCTCTTTGAGGACATTCCATATGAGGTTTTTCATAATGAATGTACTGATTTACAATTTCACCAACTGTGTACATGATTCCCTTTTCTCCACAATCTTGCCAGTAGTTGTTACTACATATTTTCAGTAATAGGCATTAGGACTGGCGTAAGGTGATATCTCAGTGTGATTTTAATTTGAATCTTCCGAATGATTAGTGATACTAAGCACCCTTTCGTGTACAGCCATGCATATGTTTTCTTTTGAGAAATGTTTATTCGGGTCCTATGGGTCACCCCATCATTTCTTTCCTCCCTCCTCCCTTTCTTTCTAGGCAGAGTCTTGCTCTGTCACCTGGGATAGAGTGCAGTGGAATCATCATAGTCCACTGCAACCTGAAACTCCTGGGCTCAAGTAATTCTTTTGCCTCAGCCTCCCGTGTAGCTGGGACAAAAGTTGTGCACCACCACACCTGGGTATTTTTTCTATTTTTTTGATAGAGACAGAATCTTGCTCTTTCTCGGGATAGTCTTGAAGTCCTGGCCTCCCAGAGTGGCAAGATTATAGGTATAAGCCACCACACCTGCCCGTTTGCTCATTTCTTTTTCTTTCTTTCTCTCTCTCTCTCTCTCTTTTTTTTTTGGGGGGGGGTAGCTCATTGTGGTTTTAATTTGCATCTCTCTAATTGTAACATTATGTTGAGCAATTTTTCATATGCTTGTTGGCTCATTTCTTAATGTGGATTATTTATTTTCTGTATAGAGTTGCTTAAATTCTGTATATATTGAGAATATTAATCCAATATTGAATGTATGGGTTATAAATATACTCTACCAG